TGGTAGCCCAGGAATGAGAATTACCCCATAATGGCATACCATTTGAAAAGTAGACAACCCAAGGTATTGAAAGTGGGGTATGTTTAGTCTTTTTTAGTAGCCACTTAGTCACAAACACTGGCCAAAGTTAGCGTTCATATTTGTTTTTGTGTGAAAAAGCAAAAAACTAATATTTGGCCAGTGTTTGTGACTAAGTGGCTACTAAGAAAGACTGGACATACCCTACTTGCAATACCTCGGGTTGTCTACTTTTGCAAATGGTATGCCATCATGGGGGTAATTCTCATTCCTGGGCTACCATACGGCAACATAACCAATCTGGCAAATTTCAATGTCAAAAAAATTAAATGCAAGCCTTATATGTGACTCTCTAACTTTCCAAAACACCATAAAACCTGTACATGGGGGTACTGTTATTCTCGGGAGACTTCACTAAACACAAATATTAGTGTTTTAAAACAGTAAAACATATTACAACAATAATATAGTCCATAAAAGTGCTGTTCATTTGTAAAAAAATGCAAAAAACTTCACTTTACTTAAAATATCATCGTTGTAATACAATTTACCAGTTTGAAACACTAATATTTGAGTTCAGCGAAGTCTCCCGAGTAAAACAGTACCCCCTATGTACAGGTTTTATGGTGTCTTGGAGAGTTACAGGGTCAAATATAGTGCTTGCGAATTAAATTCTCTGCACTTTCTCCCTGTGTTGTCAGGCATGTCAATCAAATTTGAATTAATCAAATCACATAATTATGTTAAAAGATTACTTAAATATACATGTAGAATTTTAATATATATGCATTTATAGGTATTTAAATTCTACATGTATACTAATGTAATATTTTATGTAATTATATGTATTTACCTATATATATATATATATATATACATATATATATATATATATATTTGCAGTTATTTGTATTTTATATATAGATAGATATATATATAATGTCATTCTAAGTGTATTTTGTTACCAATAAATATATATTAATAACAAAATACAGTTAGAATGAAATTACATATGAATATATAATTTATATTAAATTTTGTTTCAATATTTTATTTATTTTATTATTTTATTTATTATTGTAATTATACGTATATATATATATAATATATGTGTATATATCTATTATATATATAATATATATACATATTATATATATGTAACGTCATTCTAAGTGTATTTTAATACTAATATATGTACTTATATTAATATTAAAATAAACTGCGTATGATGTTTATACACATAATTTTTTATTTTAAACATGATTAATTAATTTTACACCTCCTACCAGCAGGGGGACTGTCTGACATTTCAGTCCCCCTGCTGGCAGATCCACAGCCAGCTATAGGGAGCCATGTGATCGCTCTTTGATCGCTATAGGGAGCCATGTGATCGCTCTTCGCTCACATGCCCCCCGGGGGCCTGATTTGCCGGGGGAGGGCTGCCTGGGCTGTCAGAAGATGATTGCGGCGGAGGTAAGTACCTCCGATCTCCTGGGGCTGCAAGCCATTACGGCGTTCTATGCCGCCGCAACGGCTTTAAAGCCCTTTTAATGCGGGACGGCATCGAACGCCGTAACTGCGTTAAGGGGTTAATATTTCATAATTTAATATATACCTTTTACAGTTTACAGGTAATAATAGCTTGTTGGGTTATAATATTGGCCTGTAAGCTTGTAGATTGTATGTGGACTTCAAATATTCTGCTACAGTCTAATCTAACATAAATAACATATTAATGTACTTAGAATGTTTATACTCTTTTGGGGGAACACCTCTCTATATAGACGTATACACATGAGAGACGGACTCCCATATAAGCTCCAGAACTCCTGGAGTTCTGTTTTATGTTATTCTAGATCAGACTTTTGCCCTCCAAATGTTGCTGAACTACAACTCCCATGAGTCTACGAATGAAATAGATAGGCTGAGAATCATGGGAGTTGTAGTTCAGCAACATCTGGAGGGCTGGAGTTTGGGGAAGCCTGCTCTAGATGTATAGCGGTCTCTTTTGTCCTGGTGGGGGTGTACCCGCTCAAGTCCCTGTTCCTTCAAGATTGTTACGTTTGTCTCTCTATGGATGTTTTATGCTGTCATTTAATCTCATAAATAAAGATTTGTTAAAAAAAAAAAAAAAGAGAGAATATTTTTCCACACTGCCTCATAAAATTAGACACTTATCTTAATGTGTTACTGTATACTGAAATAGACATGAGTCCATTCAGGGAATTAATAATCTAATAACCTCCATGACGAATGGAGACTTGTCTGTCAATGAGAAATGTCTAATCAATGAGGTTTACATAACTGATTTTTCTATCTATTAAATTCCACTTCTGTTCTGGGTTACTGAGTTCATTTTAGAACAAAAGCATAGATTGCCATGTTAATGTCATGAATGATATATCGTTTACTGTAAAAAAAAGGTTCAGTCTGTTTATTATTGAACAAACCTCTGGACTAATATTTATTGGACACCCAAATGGCCATTAAACTGCCATAGGTTACCGACATGGTCTACAGTTCACACAACAAACAACAACTTGTATGTGATCACTGCTAAATGTGGAGGAAAAAACACTGTAATGAAGCCCATGGAATAGCAAAGCTAGGTGGAATGGGCCTTGACAGAGCTAGGAGGCTGGCCTATGGAGGAGTGTGTCTGGATTGGTTAGTGGGTAAAAGGGGGAGTGGCTTAGACATATAATAATTCGCCATTTTAAATTTGGGTTCCATTTTAATTTGAAATCTTTACCTGTTGTTAGCTGTCCCACCCACCCTCCCTAATTTAGTTGGTTAAGGGCTAAGAGTCATGACTCTCCCGTTTTGTCACGGCGGCGGGGGATGGATTAGGTTAATTGGGGGTAGGTCGGTTTTTGGTAAGTGGGATAGGTCAGGAGGAATACTTACCTTTAGATTTGGTGGTAGGTTCGAGCTCGGCGGTAGCTACGAACCTGGGGGTGTAGGGGTGTCTCGGTATGCCCCTACACTGGAAATGGATGCCCTTGGTGGCTGGGATAATGGTGTAGGGGTGTCTTGGTATGCCCCTACAGTGGAAAGGGATGCCCTTGGTGGCTATGATAATGGCGTAGGGGTGTCTTGGTATGCCCCTACAATTGGAAATGGAGGCCCTGGGTGGCTATGTTAAGGTTTATGGTATTTATGCTATGTTATACTGTTAGTTGGATGTATTCTGTAAATATGTTGGAGGTCATTGTCTGGGTATTTAGTTATGTTAATTGGGGGGGGATGTCTTTTCAAGCGTTGTTGACAATGACCTTTTAAATTTATATTTTATTATTTATATATATTTAATAAAGCCGTGGAATATTTTGCCAATTCATTCATGTGTCTGTGATTATTAAAGGTTATAATTGGTTTATAACAGGAATAGGCCAAAAAGACAACTATGCGCATGTCATGAAGGATAAAGCATCCTATCTTACCTCTTGTGTCTCCCCATCCGGTTACCCAACAGAAATGGCCTGGCCGCAGAGCAATTTCTCTTTTAGGAAGACATGCATACTGGATGAAGTGTGTGGTTAAAATGTCTCCTTCTGGTTTCACCAAAGCAATATCATAATCAAGCTCATTTAGATGAGGGTAGCGGAAGCGTTCGTGTCTGTAAATACGCTTCACATTGTAAATCTTTTCCGTAGGTTCTGTACGGTTAAGGTTATGTTTACCAAGGACAATTCTCCAATTTGCTGCATCTTCTGCCTTCCCCCTTGGAAATAATACAGGTTAACAGATCAGTGCAATCCATGACAAATGAAAAGAACTTACAAAAAAAATCACAAGTAATTAAGCATTCTAATTTGGCAGATTATTTTTTTTTTATTCAAATCTTATGCTGTGGACGCCATGGTGTCAATTTACGTAATAGTTGATAAGATGGCTTAATTGATTGGTTCTAACCTTGTGTAAATTAGTAGATAAGGAGTATACCTGTAGATTAGAAATCACATAGATCTGTAGATCTTGATTGATTTTGTCAATGGTAGAATTGATGAATATACAGTGAGGGGAAAAAGTATTTGATCCCCTGCTGATTTTGAACTTTTGCCCACCGACAAAGAAATTATCAGTCTATAATTTTAATGGTAGGTGTATTTTAACAGTGAGAGACAAAATAACAAAAAAAAATATCCAGCAAAACGCATGTCAAAAAAGTTATAAATTAATTTGATTGCCTTGTTGGCAATCACAGAGGTCAGATGTTTCTTGTAGTTGGCCACCAGGTTTGCACACATCTCAGGAGGGATTTTGTCCCACTCATCTTTGCAGATCCTTTCCAAGTCATTAAGATTTCGAGGCGGATGTTTGGCAACTCGAACCTTCAGCTCCCTCCACAGATTTTCTATGGGATTTTCTAGGCCACTCCAGAATGTGCTTCTTAATGTGCTTCTTCTTGAGCCACTCCTTTGTTGCCTTGACTTTGTGTTTTGGGTCATTGTCATGCTAGAATTACCATCCACGACCCATTTTCAATGCTCTGGTTGAGGGAAGGAGGTTCTCACCCAAGATTTGATAGTACATGGCACCGTCCATCGTCCCTTTGATGCGGTGCAGTTGTCATTTACCAGAAAAACATCCCTAGAGCATAATGTTTCCACCTCCATCTTTGATGGTGTTCTTAGAGTCATAGGCAGCATTCCTCATGGACGCACTGGCCCAGGCAGTGCTGCAGCCGCCTGAGGCTCTCTATAGAGCACTCAGGCAGCTGCAGCATGAGGGGGCTGGTGCTCCTGGCCCTTTCCTAAGGGGCACCCTAAGCAACTGCCTAAGTTGCCTATAGGAAGTGCCGGCCCTGAATCTGACCTATAACACTTTCACCCAGTTCTCCTCTGAATAATTCAGATGTTTATTGGCAAACTGCAGACGGGCCTGTACATGTGCTTTTCTGAGCAGGGGGACCTTGCGGGCGCTGCAGGATTTCAGTCCTTCATGGTGTAGTATGTTACCAATTGTTTTCTTGGTGACTATGGTCCCAGCTGCCTTGAGATTGTTAACAAGATCCTCCCATGTAGTTCTGGGCTGATTCCTGAAACTCCATGAGATCTTGCATAGCACCAGACCGAGGGAGACCGACAGTTATTTTGCGTTTCTTCCATTTGCAAATAATCGCACCAACTGTCACCTTCTCACCAAGCTGCATGATAATGGTCTTGTAGCCCATTCCAGCCTTGTGTAGGTTTACAATCATGTCCCTGACATCCTTGGACAGCTCTTTGGTTTTAGCCATGGTGGAGAGTTTGGAATCTGATTGATTGCTTCTGTGGACAGATGTCTTTTATACAGGTAATGAGCTGAGATTAGGAGCACTCCCTTTAAGAGAGTGCTCCTAATCTCTGCTCGTTACCTGTATGAAAGACATATGGGAGCCAGAAAACTTGCTGATTGAAAGGGGATCAAATACTTATTTCACTCATTGACATGAAAATCAATTTAGACTTTTTTTGACATGCGTTTTTCTTGAATTTTGTGTTGTTATTCTGTCTCTCACTGTTAAAATACACCTACCATTAAAATTATAGACTGATCATTTCTATGTCAGTGGGCAAATGTTCAAAATCAGCAGGGGATCAAATACTTTTTTCCAATCACTGTATTTAAACATTAGCATATTATTGACTATCAATCAAAATCACATGTTGAATCTATTAATTGTATAAAATCAATAATATGAAATATACCCACTGACGGTACCATCTGATATCACTTATTGATATATATATATATATATAAAACATGAGCCTGTTGATCTTGCTCACTAATGTACAGGAAAGGAGCCAATGATGGTGCTTATTGGATATTAATTAAAGTAAACCAGCTGATGGTCTCTATCCACGTCCAGGAAAGACTAAGCTGTTGGATGCCCAGGGAATAAACTCAATTATGGCACCTACTGGTTTACAGAAAAGGAACTTGTTCATGACACTAAATAATGGACTGAAATGGCTGCCAAATGAACCTGCTAATAGTAGAGATTTTATTTATTACCATGCTCACCCAATATAGTATTTTAGCCTAATGTCACTACAACCCCCACTTCCCAGCCGAATGTAGAAGCCAGTGGCAACTTGGTGACATTTGGGAATGAACCTATTCACCGTTCTCCATCTAATTTGCTCTTACTAGTATGATCCTGAATTTGGCATCTGGAAGGTACATGCCAAAACCCTATAGTAGTTCAGCTTGCTGACGTATTTCAGGGTTTAAACTTCAGGTCTCACATCCCTTTTATATCCACTCATAAAGGTATGTCATGCCACACAGTTTCCAATTTTTGTTGGACAAGACAGGAAGATTGTTGTTACTGACATTCTCCCCAGGTGGGAGCATAGGTGAGTGAGTAGTTGCCATTGGTTGAAAAGGTAATTTAAAATAATTTCTTTAATATGGAGGAGTGGGGAAGGAACTCTTTAAATATCATAGCTGAATAACAGTTTAATGTTAAATTGATCCTCTAACTGAGAGAGGTATTGAGAAAAATATATATAAATAATCTTTTCAATGATTCTTCAACATATGAATACTTACTTCTGAAAACAGTGGGCCGCAGTGAGGACCCAATTTTTGTGAATGAGCGTCCCACCGCAGACGTGAACAAATTTCTTACTTCCTCTAGACTTAACCTTGCAGTAAAAAATAGACAAAAAACATACTTTAACAGATTGGAACAGCACACAGATTTACAAACTTTATTATATAAAACCTACATATTATACATTATGAGTTATTGTTGTGTTTTTTTTTTTAGTTTTTTAAAGGATTGCATTCTCTGGAACCTATTCATCATAAAGCCACACAGAGGACATTTCAGTGGACAGAAATGGCTGCCCCGTAGTAAATCAATAAAATTCACACTCTCGTGAATCTAAATTGGATTTCCCTCTAATGGCATCCACAGACTAAGAAACTAGTCTGATATGCCACAGGGTAAGGTTCTCACTGTAATGACACAAATGAGATAAAAGCTAAGACCTAGGTTATTTGAGTTGCTGTCTGTTTTTGGTGTTCAAATTAACTCTTGTTTTTGGTGCATTAATACCCCACATCCATTTAAAAATATGTAGTTATTAACTTCCACCCAGTGGACAAAGGTCAGGATTTTAGGGGGACAAAGTAGTAGAGTAGATCCTCTCCTAATGATAATTCAGTACTCTCACCCCCCTACCCTCAGGATGAGGTTCTATTACAAGCTATATACATCTTACTGTCAATGGGTTGGGAGAAGCAGTTGGTGCCACTAGCTGACAGATTTTTAATCCTCACACGACCAAGGCAACTTGTCAGGCAGCTTCAATATAGCATTTGATAGAAAATACTATAATACATTAATGGGATACTCTAAGCGCCTAAACAACGTTAGCTTAATGAAGGTGTTTTGGTGTATAGATCATGCCCCTATAGCAGGGCCGGATTAACATAGGGGCTGATGGAGCTGCAGCTCCAGGCCCAGGCCCATGGAATAGGCCCATTTTTTTTTTTTTTTTACACACTACTCTTAGGTTTGCCACCTGACTGGTATTTTAATGGCACAGATGGTATTTGAGGCTGGCTGTGCCGGTATTGCAGTAATACCGGCAATACAAATGCAGGTAATTTAATCAGAATAAATGGAAATTACTCTGCAATATCAGCACCGGCCAGTAGGGGTCACTGTGTGTGGAGAAAGGCAGGGATAGGAAGTTACAGAATATCCCTGCCTCTCTCTACTACTCACTGATCCGTGGGGGAGCAACTACACAGCACAGAGAGTCCATACAGCAACTCTACAGCTCAGGTAAGTGAGGGATGGGGGAAAGGCAGCAGGGACACATGGGGACACTGAGACACTAGGGGACACTAGGGGACATATGGGGAGACTGAGACACTAGGGGACATATGGGGACACTGAGACACTGGGGGACACAGACACTAGGGGACACATGACACATACACTAGGGGACACTGAGACACTAGGACACAGACACTGGGAGACCTGGGAACACTGAGACACTTGGGGACACTGGAAAACATGGGGACACTGAGACACTTGGGGACATGGGGACACAGACACTAGGGGACACATGGGAACACAGACACTAGGGGACACTGAGACACTAGGACACATGGGGACACAGACACTTGGGGACACTGGAAAACATGAGGACAATGAGACACTAGGGGACACATGGGGATGCTGAGACACATGGGGACGCTGTGAGACATAGGGACATTTGGAGACATTGGGACACGGAGACACTATGTCCCCCAGCCAGTGTCCCTAGGGTCTCAGTGTCCCCAAGTCTCCCAGTGTCTGTGTCCCATGTCTCAGTGTTCCTAGTGCCCCCATGTGTCCCACTGTCCCCATGTCTATGTCCACAACTGTCCCCATGTCTCCCCAAGTGTCTGTCTCCCAGCCAGTGTCCCCTAGTCTCCCAGTATCCCCTAATCTCCCAGTGTCCCCTAGTCTCCCAGTGTCTGTGTCCCTAGTGTCTTAGTGTCCCCAAATGTTTGTGTCTCCATGTCTCCCAGTGTCTGTGTTCTTAGTGTCTCAGTGTGCCTGGTGTCCCCATGTCTCCCAGTGTCCCTATATGTCCCAGTGTCCACATGTCTATGTCTACAACTGTCCCCATGTCTCCCAGTGTCCCCAAGTGTCTGTCTCCCAGCCAGTGTCCCCTAGTCTCCCAATGTCTGTGTCCCTAGTGTCTTAGTGTCCCCAAATGTTTCAGTGTCCCCATGCTTCCAGTGTCTGTGTCCCTAGTGTCTGTGTCCCCATTTCTCCCAGTTTCCCTAAATGTCCCAGCATCCCCATGTCTCCCAGTGTCCCCATGTCTCTGTGTCCCCGGGTCTCTCAGTGTCCCCATGTCTCTCAGTGTCCCCAGTATCCTAGTGACATGGGGACACACTGAGACATTGGGACACTGGGAGAAATGGGGAGACACTGGGAGACTAGGGGACTGTGCAGGACTAGGGGACTGGGCGAGATGGGACACTGACACTGTGATACATAGGGACACTGAGACACAGGGTGACTTGCGAGACTGAGACACTGGGAGACAGTGAGACACTGGGAGCAATCCATCTATACAGCAGAATCAAACTGTGAGTAGTTTGTTGGTGATTTTACAGAATTTTCTCTGATGTCACTCCTTGTGATTTACACGCATAACTAATTAATTATGCAAATGATTAAGGCTGGTATTTTTTTCCAAGAAAGGTGGGAACCTTAACTACTCTTCACATACTCTTGCTTAAAGGAGCACTATAGTGTCAGGAACACAATCATGTATTTCTTACCCTATTATGTTAAAACCACCACCCTGGCCCCTTCTTGCCTCCCTAAATATAGTAAAATATTACTTGTATTCAATTCTGCAGCTGCTGGCTCAGAAGTGGTGGTCTGAGCAAATTACAATACTTCCCCATAGGATTGGCTGAGACTGTCAACTAGGCAGATCAGGGGCAGAACCAGCACAAGTCCAACATAGCCCTGGCCAATCAGCATCTCCTCATAAAGATAAATTGAATCAATGCATCTCTATGAGGAAAGTTCAGTGTCTGCATGCAGAGGGTGGAGACACTGAATGGCAGTGCTGCACACTAGGCAGTACTGCCCGAGGAAGCACCTCTAGCAGCCATCTAAGGAGCGGCCAGTGGAGTTATTTTCTCTGAAAAGACAGTGTTTACTGCAAAAAGCCTGAATTGAATGATTCTACTTACCAGAACAAATACAATAAGCTGTAGTTGTTCTGGTGACTATAGTGTCCCTTTAAGTTTGGAAGCTTAAGAGGGATGTATGGGAACAAAACTTGTGTGCACTGGCTGACATTAAAGTTAGTTTAGGTAATGCAGACGTTGGTCTCTCTAACACTGTGGCATGTCCCCTTTCTTCTACACTCACTACAGACACCTTTTCTCTGTCTCAGACTATACCAGGAAGTTCTGCCTGCTAGTAAGAAGGTAAGGAGACAAGTGGACCAGCGAGTGCTAGGGGACAGTCCTTAGAAAGAATGGAGTGAGCGCATCATTAGACGCATTTATGTCAAGCTCAAGGTGCTGCCTGCATTGTATGCCCTTAGTTGGACAGCCTGCAGGATTGGCAGGCATCCTGACATGCATTCATGCCAGGCTGACCTTCCAATTCTTTGGACAAACATGCCCCCTTTTTGGGCATGTTCATCCCTTTTGGCAGGTCTTGTCACGTGATTCACTCCAGTGGCACACCCTTTTACCTCGCCCATTGACTTCCTTCTTCACTGAACACTGCTGTTAGGGGTTATGGATTTACTTGAAAGATGAATGCATAAATTAGAGAGAAATTAGCATAGAGTATGTGTTTTCTTATAGCTGCATCCTATGAGTTTCCCTCCAGCACCATCTCCATCAGATACATGACGCTTGGGAGGTATGACTGTTTTAGTGTTTTTGGTCGATAAGATTCCGTAATTAGGCCCATCATAATTGTCAGCACCAGGCCCACTGTGCTCTTAATCCGGCCCTGCCCTATAGTCTTACTGATCAATGTTCTGCATCTTAGAAGGTAGATCAATTTGTTTATATGTGATAAAAATGCAATTGAAAGGGCAGTAGATAAGAACTTTTAAAGTAAACATACTGTGCTGTAAGACCTGATTGAAAACCTTGTTTTTTCATGCAGCCTGTACTATACCTTCGGGTACCGCGCGGCAGCCACGAAGATCCCTGTCCCACGCTGCTCTCACTTGGTTGAACGCTGCGTTCCTGGACACCTCCAGCTCAGAGGTCATGCGCCATTCTCTCCATGGAACTGCAGACAGCTCTGCACTATCTGCAAGGCTGACGGATTTCCCGTGCAACCTCACGCAACCTTCAGGTGTCCTTTGAAATTACAGGACCCTGTGGATGTAACACTTTATACTCACCTTTTAGTCATGTTATATTTGTTGGAGGTTTTGCACAGGTCATACCCCTTTGTGTTTCTTGGTGCAGTGTGATGATGGTGTCCAATAGTATTCTTTCTAGCCCTAAATAAGTTCCCCCCCTTGTTGGGAATCATTGCCCTGTTGTGGCTATCCTGACTGTCTGTATCCCTTTGACCTTGGCTTGTTTTCTCGTTCTTGTGTACCTGTGCATTCCTTGACCTAGGATTCCTTTATTACTACCTTTTTGTTGCCTTTTTAGGCACACGTTAAGTCCGGACACTTTAAGGTCCGGTATACGCATCCTGTTCTTCCTCTTATTTTGGCTAATATCCTTCTCTTTGTGTGTAGGGGTTACCCCGATCGTAACAGTCTATGTGAGGAGTCACAACCAAGGGAGGTAGGTCTACGGCTACATAAACACAAAAAAAGTAATTTAACTCCTATGTGGCACAGAACTGAGCAGTGCGACGGCAGGGGCTTGATCTATACACCAAAACCGCTTCATTAAGCTAAAGTTGTGTTGGTGCTTACAGTATCTTAGAGTTTAAGAAATTAAAACTGTGGCACAAGGATTTATTTTACCTGCAAGGAAACCTGCCAGGGCCAGGAATATGGTCGTACTTCATTCCCAGACACTATCCTCCCAGCTGTGTTTTGTTGGAAAAAAGCAACTCCACAATCTGCTGGCCAATCTGAATAAACAATGGAAGTAAGAATTAGTACATTTCTATATCCCATGATGCCCTCTGCTCAAGTTTCCAACTTTTGTTTTAAACTTTTCTCTGGAAGTAATTTGCCTCTTGTTTAATACTTACGTATTTGTATCCATATCCCTCTTCGCTATTACCTTTAAAATATGTGTTTTCCTTTACCTAAAATGTCTTGTAGTTGTACTTTCAAAACAGTCTGAGGCTCATGTGAAATGGACGTGGCAAAGTATGTGTGTGTAAATATATATATATGATTTAAGGCTGATAACACCATTGGCTTTATTGGGAAAGCATTGTGTATGGAGCTTTGCTATTTCACGTGCACTAGAAGATAGAGGGGGAGGGGGTGGTGGTTTGTATGAGTTACATAGTTACATACTGAAAAGAGACTTGCGTCCATCAAGTTCTGCCTTCCTCACATATGTTTTTGCTGTTGATCCAAAAGAAGGCAAAAAACCCAGTCTGAAGCGCTTATTGCTCTTACTGTAAAACAAACTTTTCTTTGCTTTAGATGAAATCTCCTTTCTTCCAGCCTAAATGTGTGACCTCATGTCCTATGTATAGCCCTGTTTATGAATAGATTTCCAGAAAATGGTTTGTACTGGCCCTGAATATATTTGTATAATGTTATCATATCCCCTATGAGGCGCCGTTTTTCCAAACTAAAGCGATTTAATTTTTTTAACCTTTCTTCGTAACTAAAATGCTCCATTCCTTTTATCTATTTTGTAGCTTGTCTCTGCACTTTTTCTAGTGCCATGATATCCTTCTTTAGAACAGGTACCCAAAATTGCACAGCATATTCAAGGTGTGGTCTTACCAGCGATTTATGGTACTTACCTACAATATTGTGTAGTGTGGTGGGGTAGGGTAGTATGCAACCCCTGTAAGTGGATGTTATGCCAATGAAAAGCCAAATGAAGGGCTGAAATAGGAACACAGCGTAGTGTATGCAGAGTGTGTGTGTTAGTGTAGTGAATGCTGAGTGTGCGTGTCAGTGTAGTGAATGCTGAGTGTGCGTGTTAGCGTACTGAATGCAATGTGTGTTAGCATAGTGTATGCAGAGTGTGCGTGTTAGCGTAGTGAATGCAGAGTGTGTATTAGTGTATGCAGTTTGTGTAAATGTTGTGCACACATTCATTTTAATAAATGTTATCCCTCCCCTCCCTGCTTCTTACTTGTGCCTCAAGTTACTTACTGTCTCAGTAGTAATGCCACTGTCTGGAATGCTCCCTCAGTCTCTCTGCTCGCTTCTGCAACTTTTCCATTCTTGCTATCCCTCCCTTCTCTATCTCTCCCCCCTATGCCTCCCTTCCTTCCTTATCTCTCCCCCATGCCTTTCTCCCTATCTCTCATTTCCATGCCTCCCTCCCTTCCTTATCTCTCCCCCATACCTCCCTCCCTTCCTTATCTCTCCCCCATGCCTCTCTCCCTGTCTCTCCCCCATGTCTTCCTCCCTATCTCTCACCCCATGTCCCTATCTCTCCCCCTATGTCTCTCTCCCTATCTCACCCCATGTCTCTCTCCCTATCTTTCCCCTCATGTCTCTCTCCCTTCCATCTCTCCCACATGTCTGTCTCCCTTCCATCTCTCACCCACCATGTCTGTCTCCATTCCATCTCTCTCCTCCCCATGTTTCCCTCCCTTACATCTTTATCCCCCCCCATATCTCCCTACCCCTTACCCCTATGTCTCCACCCCAATGTCACCACCCCTTACATTTATGACCTCCCAGGTCCTCCCTTTCTTCATCCATATTTCCCTCCTTCCCTAATAGCAGGCACCTTTTAACTAACAGAGCCTGTGCCCTGCTCTAGCCCACACATTATTGGCCCCCCTCACTGCCCTTTCACTTCACATAGCAGGGGAGGGGGACCTCTGGACGTCCACCCCAGCGGAGTGCTGAGTCAGACTGAGCGCCGGGTAGTCACGTGACACCCGGCGCTCCCACGCAGGGCGGAAGGGGGATGCGCTTCCCCTCCCAGTTTACAGTGCCTGTGGTTCCCTTATGGAGCCATGCGCTGCCTGGGGGTGCCAGGAGCGCAGGTGGAAGGGGTGCAAAAATCACTTGCCACATTGACAAGTGATTTTTGCCCCCTCCCCCCCCCGGCATGCGCCCCGGGCGAGCGCAGGTTTTACCAACCCCATGGAAAGCCCCTGACAGTGTGCAACACTGACATTTAGTGCCTCCACCCTCTGCGTGCTGACACTGAGCTTTCCTCATAGAGATGCATTGATTCAATGAAGAGATACTGATTAGCCAGTGCTGTGTTTGACTTGTGCTGGCTCTGATCTGCCACCTTGACAGTCTCAGCCAATCTTTAGTGGAACGCATTGTGATTGGTTCACAGAATCATTTCTCATAATGTCAGGTATGCATGCAGATCAGGGGCAGACCCAGCAGCAGCAGACTGGAATATAAGTAAGATTTTACTATATTTAGGGAGGCAAGAGGGAGCTGGGAGGGGGTAGGGGATTGCTAGATGGTGGTGTTAACAATATAGGGTTAGGAATACATGTTTGTGTTTCTAACCCTATAGTGTTCCTTTAAAGCTGTTCTGCAGCAAGGGGTGGGATGTGAATTAGGCCTTCAAAGTTGATGCTAACAATTCACACACTATTCAACATTTGTTGATTACTCATAAACCCTCTGTCTCTATAAAAGCAGTGTTGGAAAATACATTGTTACTATGCACTATTAAGCATTAATTTGGCTGTATTGTACTGCATGAAGTTGTATGTTGCCATCATACTGCCAAAAAATGGTTATTAACCTAAGGAAGATAGACAGACCATGCTAACCCTTAAAAATCTTTCCTTTAGAGAAATTACAAAAAATACCAAGATGCCGGTGAATACAGATTTCTGCACCTTCAAATGGCACTAGGAAATTGGAAGAAACGCAATACATAAATAGGTCTATAACAATACATAAATACATAAATAGGTCTGCCAGACCAAAATCCACAATAAAATCAGAACAGCTTGCATTATAGGTGGTTCAGATGACAATAGTTTGAAGCACAGCTTAATTCTAGTTGAAGTGAGCAAGTCTCACTTTCAACTGTGACAAGAATACTTTGGTGGAATGTTTGACAGCTTGAGTTCGGCAGCAGTAAAAAAGTTGTTGCTAAGATGGCAAAAAAGAGGCTTGTTGGGGTAATGAATTGATGTCAGCAGTCAGCTTAAGATGAAGGTCTTGCGGACTGATGATACAATATTTTAAAGCTTTCATTCATCACGCAGTGTTTTTGTACTATGTAGAGTGATTTTCCTCATTGTCTGATACTGACTGTCATACCGGGAAGTTGATGAAACAGCAAGGCTAGCCAGACTATGGTTTAGCAACAAGATGGGTTTGAGTTGGCTGCACTAAGGATGGCACTGTACCATCACTGATGGCAACTGTTTGCATGTGAAAAGTAGGCAGTCGAGAAGTCTATGAGCTGTATTGCAGGTGAGGTACTGTAGGTACTGTAGTGTGAGAGACTTTATATAAGCAAATTAGTTGGTTTACAAGATAAACCATTCTCAGATGAGTGATCAAGGCACACTTTTGCATGTTTTATACATATCTAGGATATACTCCCTGATATAAGAGCCTCTCACCATCCCTGTTCCTTCCTTTATGTGAGCCTTGGAGGCCATCCTCCACTTTCAACCAACAACCAAGGATTAAAAATTTATATGCCACAAAATTATCCCATCCTCCGCTAGCCTTAATTGATAGGAGACCCTACATGAAGGGATATCCAGGTGGTGTAGGACTCCCTTTTTCCTACACTCAATTTACTAGACATTTAGTAACATATGATGCTCCTCCAATATAGGTACCATGGAGCATATCTGGTGGTAATGGCCGGTGATACAGCCAGTTCAACCAGGGAGTATACCCCACTTCCCATTCTATACTACTTTCACTAGCCCTCTTAGGCTGCCTATGCGGTTTTAAAGAGACTCCCTAACAGGCTCTCCTCTGAAAGCTGCCGGAGACAGCTAGCACACTAATTTCCCTATTCTGGAAACAGACTACAAGTTTCTCTCTGTAACAATGGTTCCAAAAAGTATAAGCACTACACACTCTGGTCAGCATTGACAAAGAGACAAATACTCAGCATTCTGGTCCCCCTGGGTGGAACATTATCAAGTGTCCTCCTAGGAATACATACGGACCCTGGGACCATATTCCTGTTTTTATGGCAAACTCACACGCAAGCCAGGGCACAGCGGGACAAGTGTGCAACTATCTAATATGCAAACTTGGTGACATAATGTGGATCACACTTTTTTTTTTTTAAATATATATTATTTTTCATAATATTTTCTTATATCTTTACAAACAATTGCTTTTAAATTCCCACTTTTTTTTTCATTGTGCTTGCTGTAACTAAGCATTTCTTTTTTTTTTTATATTTATAAACTTTTATTGTTTACATAAAAGGAAATCACAGGAATACATAGAGGGGGTGATTTGCATTTCTCACATACAATCCATTTACATCATTGAAGGGGACCCATGCAGGGGTCACAGCGTATTATACATCATTCCATAACTCCATTTATTATCGTTGTGGTTGTCAGGTACCTACTGCCAAAGAGAGTTGTGTATTGCTCGAAAAAGTATGTGTATTGATCTAGGGGGTATTGCCAAAACAATAAGTGATGCCTGGGTCTCTAGTGCTGGTGTCAATACTGTGGGGGTAAACATATCATGTATGGATGTTGTACCCTCTAGTGGAGTGGTGTTACTTGTGTAATTGCCCTACTATTTTGGCGTCTGTACTGGTTTCACATTCTCCCTATGGTGAATTATATGAGCTTGGTGAGTTTGGAGTAACTCGTATTACAGTATGTTGTATTTGTTTTCAGTGGTTACCTTCTGTTTAAGGACGGTATGGGTAAGTTCAAGTTTATCAATATGGGTTGGTTGTGATCAAGGTTCCCGGTTAGGTGGTGGCTTCTTGCTCGAGATCGGGCCAGCATGGGTCTAGCAGATACTACAGTAGGGGGATCTAGCTCATGGGCTGGCTGTAGGTCTTAAATTCACACTTTTTATGTTGGTACTTATTTTCTTCTATGACCTTGTTCTATAACTCTGTTTAATCACGTCTGGTCATGTATATATCTTAATGCATATGTTGAACAATCATGCATCCCACCACCTTCTGTCTCACCATAAAACAGCAAGAAGTGAGTCAATGTATTAGTAAACTGCTTGTTATGTATTTTTATTTTTATTTTTTTTACTGCATCTCTGATGTGTGTAATGTTCCCCCCTGGATGCTGTTATGTATTGCACTGCATACTTTTAAAACGTATAAAAATGTAAAATAAATGGAAAATTCCTGCTGTTTTATCACATGCCATTCCCCGCTATTATTGAGTTTCTGAAAGATGTCTGGCATATCTTTTAAAAACGCAACTGATATTTATAGTTTTTGCACTTATTAGCTGAGTTAGTATTTACACTGGGATTACTCAGTGTTAATGACCACAAAGAAGGACAGGGTCTAAGAAGTAATTTTTTAAAAATCGGCCTGTTTCATAGGCATGGGAAGCAGCAATGTGTGCATCACGTCAAAGAACATTCCAGGCACCAAAATCACGTAATCAACAAGTGGTTTTTGGTTCCTAGAGTCACTTTTTTACCATCAAGTGTTAAACCATTATCAAACATTCCATCGCTGGGCTTAACTCAAGCAGAGAACTTCAAGCTCCAGAGATGTAGGGACCAGTGCCCAGTATACAACAGGTCAGAAGTCCAACTGTTAGTCAACAGTTTGACTATTCATATTAGGGGACACCATGCCACTCCTGGCACCATAACCATTACAGCACACTGCAGTATTTATGGTGCTTGGAGTGTTCCTTTAATATTGTTGATTTCGACACTGAATGTCTCAAGAAACAAAACTCACTATACCACTAGAAGGCAGAATACACACCAAAACAAGAAGACAAAATAAACTCCTGTAGCATAGCATGCCCACCAAAAATGCTCTGATGGTGTCCTGTCAGTGGCTGTAGACTGTGCAGCAAGGGGGCTGCTAGGATCTCTCTATACTAAGCTCCCTTATGCAACCTGTACTAATGCTGGAAGTTGGGATGGAAGTTGGAAGTTGGGATGTGACATTACCCCAGTCCGACATCAGCACAGAGCTGCATAGGGACAGCAATAGTACAAAGAAATCCCAATAAACTAGTGGGCCCCAGGGATTACTCCCTGTCAAGGTAAGAAAAGGGAGGCTGGGTGGACTGTTGTCAGGAATAGATTGGTTCCTCATCAATATATAAGTCCTCCCATACCAAAGGAACAGCTAGAGGGACAGAAGAGATGTTTTACTGGACCTTAGAGTGGACTAACTTAATGCTTAGTATAATAACTGAAGGTAGCAGAACTAAATACTATAATTAGTCCAGAGAATAACCAGAGTAACCTAAACCTGGGGAAGAAGGCAAAAGCAGTGTCAGGACTTGTCGGGTCAGGGATATTAGAAAACAAGACAGGGTCAATAGCAAAACCAGGTCAAAAAGCCAAAGAAAACCAAAATACACATAATAGCACACTTAAGAGGTCTTGAACCTTTAAAGGACACTGAACTTTTAGCAGAGCAAGTATATATAGGCCCAAGCCCATGCATCAATTTTGCGTCATTAACTCAAGAGTAAAAACAGGACTCCAAAAAAAAAATGTAAAAAGACACAAAGGTTGCTGTAGTAGTTACCCCGTGTAGCAGAGGGGTTTCAACCGCTGGAGGGTGTCCTTTTCCTGATCAGTGAGGAGGATTGTCAGCATCCAGTCATATTCCAAGAGAAGAAGTTCTTACAAGAGCTAGTGTGAATAGCTGTATAGCGGTTACCCCCAATAAGAGACAGGGCTCTAGATTGAGGGTGAAGTAGAACTGATGTTTAATGGCAGGTACTCTGCTTTTATGCAGTGCTCCCCTGCAAGGGAGACGTCCACAGGCAATTAGACATTAACCAATCAGACAACGGTACATCCCACAGATTCCCTCCCCTCTGCTTGGGAGATAATTGAGTTTCCTACTGTATCTACTCAATTATCTCCAAGCTAAAACTTATGCTTTTTTATGCATTTTTATAACTTTATGATTTTTCATCACACAGGAATAAAACTTATATTTTTATGAACAACACAACTTGGGGACAAACATATTCAAAATTCGTACAAATACGTTCAGGGGTTCCAGAGATATAGAAAAGTCTCTTTGGACTGTTTGCATGCCCAAAACAGTTGCACAGATTCAGGCTGTGCGGTCGGTCTATTTCTGCCTTGAAAAATAACAAAGTCCCATCCGAAGCCGGCGTTCGAATAGTTGAACGCACTTCGACTTCTGTCGAAGTAAAACAGGATTAAACTTCCTCGTTGGTCGTTAGGTGAGTGGCAGTCTATTTCACAGGAAAAAGATAACAAAGTCCCATCCGAAGGCGGCATTTGAATCGTCGAACGCACTTCGACTTCTGTCGAAGTAAAACGGGATTAAACTTCCTCGGTGGTCGTTAGGTGAGTGGTAGTCTATTTCACATGAAAAAGATGACAAAGTCCCATTCGAACGTGTGTTTGAATCTTCGAATGGGACTTAGTCTCCAGCCGCAGTGTCGAAGGGTAGGGGACGGTACAGGTCAGCGGTGTTCGTGCAAATGTGTGACCGATTTCCGTTCCAGAGATTTGATGGCACACACCGCTGACCGCATTCAGCTGTATTAAAATGGCCGCCGCCACTGTCTAATGGCGGCCACTTCGACTACTTCGGCACTTCGGCTGTATCCGAAGTGCCATATCAAATGTACCCATTCTTTGCACAGCACAATTAAAGGGCCAGAAACAGTTTTTGTCCTTAGGTGCAGGGCAATGTGGATGATGGCAGGAAGTTAAAAGGTAGAGGTTCCCAGGCAACAGGGTAGGACGCTGGTACAACATATATTATAGATCCAACGCAAAACAGGGGGATCTGTTACAGTTGCGTCAGTTCAGTTTATTTGAAGCCATGTGATGCGACCATGACCTAGTAATCATAACACTGTGCTCAAATGACGCTGTTATTTTATATAAGGAGACTAGGCCACTTTGGACTGAGGACTAAGTAGAATCGATTAAATTTGTCAAGTGTCAACTGTAGAGCGAGGTTAACCGGAAGTCAAGGTGATATTGATGAGGTAGAGTCAAATCTGGAATGAAGACCCTTAACTGACTTGGAGGTGTCAATACTGTTGCCAGGACCCCAGGGTGGTAGTGATACTAATGCAGTGACTTTACTGTGAGTACTCTTTCTAACAACCAGACAACAAAATGACTGTTTTATACAAGGTTTGTGCAGTGTGTCAGTGTGTTTTTTCTTTATAAAAAATACCTCCAAGGTTAAAACTCTATGCTAATTTAATTTTTTAACCTTCTAACGTGCTCCACTCAGAGCGGTCATTATTACCCAATTATAATGATGCTTTGAATCACGTGATTTTGCTGTTTTTAGTTTCTCAAGGGCTGTTGACATATGGATTGTGAGCACACAGGCTATTTCACTGAACCACTTTGTCTAAAAGAGCTTCAATGACTAGATCTTAGCTCACAGACAAGCACTTCTTTAACTTTTTGGTCTGTGTATATTGTTCTACCCCGCAACCCCCAATTGTACACCGCTGCAGATTATGTTGACACTATTTATACGCTAGTAATAATAAAAATAATATGGCTAAATGTATATATTAAAATTAACATTATTGATACATTTGATACAATATTTTTAAACCCCTTTGTTTATATATTTATACAAAAACTCATTCATAGCTTCAGTCCCTAGAAAGTCACATAAATAAGCAAAAAAAATAGCATTTTTGCTATTTGTGATTTTTATTTACCATTTAAAATATACACTTAACAGACAGTGTATTTGGTATATCTGCTTCCTAATTCAAATAGACTGCTGGGGCAGGGAAAAAGTAAAGTCAAGATGCTTAGTTGTCTGTTTATCAAATATTGAAGTCAAGTAGGGGTCTTAAAGTCCATTTACATGGCGGTCAGTGGCAATTTACCTTGAATAGAGAATTGATTGATCTAAGTGTCTCTGGCCAAGGTTACGACAGATATGTTTTATCTTGCCATCCTAATCCTGCTTCCATCTTTAATTGGTATTCTAATTGCTGTTTGAATTCTGAATTACTTGGTGTTTTTGATTGTTCCCAATATCAGGCGATTAGAATTTTTGAAACATTTAGAGCGTGAATAATAAGTAGTGTTTCTCTCTCCCGACGTTTTTCTTCCAGTAGATGTAATATAGCATTCTGTTGGGTTTTTTAAGTAGAGTTATTCCTTGGTCTCTTAAAAATACAAAAATCCTGTTACAAAATGTCTTTATCAAACTGCATACATACATCTGAAATTGATGGATATACACATTTTAGTTTTGTAGGAACCCAGTACCACCTATTCATAAATTTGTACTGGTTTTCTTGGAGGTTAATACAGTGTATATATTTGTTAGTTTTGGCAATTGCTTGTTGCCAATTCTCAATCGAAATATTCAAGTTTAGTTCTTTAAAATATATCTGTATATATATATTGGTAGTTAATGAAGACCAGGAAAAGGCAGAAATGTTAAATAACTATTTTTTCTTCAGTATATATTAATGAGGATCCTGTGGCAAGAGATATGCAAATGTTTGCTGCAAAAAACTTGCAGATAACTTGTGATTGGATAACTTGAGACAAGGTGCTACAGCTATTAGAGAAAATGAATGTCAATAAAGCTCCGGGGCCTGACGGTATTCACTCACGAGTACTTAAGGAGCTAAGTAGGGAAATAATTGAACCTCTGTATTTAATTTTTCAAGATTCTTTTGTTTCAGGTATTGTACCGGAGGATTGGAGGAAGGAAGATGTTGTTCCTATATTTAAAAAGGGTTCAAAATCCTTGCCTGGAAATTATAGACCTGTGAGCTTAACTTCTGTGACTGTGAAAATATTTAAAGGGCTATTAAGGGATAATATTCAGGAATTCATTGGGAAGAACTTTGTTATTAGCAGTAATCAGCATGGTTTTAGGAAACATAGGTCATGTCAAACTAACCTATTGTGTTCTACGAAGAAGTAAGTAGAAGTATTGATCAGGATTTTGCACTTGATGTGATCTACTTGGATTTTGCCAAGGCATTTGATACGGTTCCTCACAAAAGGTTAGTCATCAAACTAAAGGAAATTGGTCTTGATGATTATTATTCTTGTTCTTGGGTAGAACATTGGCTTAAGGATAGAGTACAACAGCTTGTCATTAATGGTAAATTTAGACTGGACAAAAGTGGTAAGTGGTGTCCCTCAGGGTTCTGTTTTGGGACAGCTTCTTTTTAACATATTTTAAGTGATCTTGAAATGGGCATTGAAAGCCATGTTTCAGTGTTTGCAGATGACACAAACCTTTGTAAAGTAATCAAATGTGAGCAGGATATTGCTTTGCTGTAGAGGGATTTGGATAGGTTGGGGGATTGGGCACTAAAATGGCAGAAGAAATTTAACGTAGAGAAATGCAAAGTTATGGACTTCGGGGTCAAGAATGCACAAGCAAATTACACCCTTAATGGTAGTGAATTAGGGATAACCACACATGAGAAGGATTTGGGAACTGCTATAGTCAACAAATTAGGCAGCAATATGCAAAGTCAATCTGCAGTTGCTAAGGCTAAAGTTTTGTCATGTATAACTAGGGGCATAAATTCTCGAGATGAAAATATAATTTTGCCTCTTTATAAATTGCTGGTAAGACCACACCTTGAATATGCTGTGCAATTTTGGGCACCTGTTCTAAAGAAGGATAGCATGGCATTAGAAAAAGTGCAGAGACGAGCTACAAAATTGATAAAAGGAATGGAGCATTTTAGTTATAAAGATTAAAAAATTAAAATCTCGTTAGTTTGGAAAAACGGCACCTCAGAGGGGATATGATAACATTATTCAAATATATTCGGGCCAGTACAAATCATTATCTGGAAATCTGTTCATAAACAGGGCTATACATAGGACACGTGGTCACATACTTAGGCTGGAAGAAAGGAGATTTAATCTAAGGCATATGGAATTCTCTGCCTGAAGAGGTGGTTTTATCAGAGTCCATACAGATGTTTAAACTGAAATTGGATAAATACTTGCAAATACATAACATACAGGGATATCATTTTTAATTAGTGGGGTAATAGCTGCTTGATCCAAGGAGACATCTGAATGCTATTTTGGGGTCAAGAATGAATTTTTTCCTAGTTTGTTGCAAAATTGGAAGTGCTACATACTTTGTTTTTTTGCCTTCTTTTGGATCAACAGCAAAAACATATGTGAGGAAGGCTGAACTTGATGGACGCAAGTCTCTTTTCAGCTATGTAACTATGTAGACCATTTTTTTATTGCAGGTATATTAGTTTTATTCTCTGATTAGTAAGAAGTTTATTGACTTATTGTCTATTTAAAAGTAATTATATTGAAGTCAAGTTTCTTAGGTGGTTTACTAATAAAGATGTTTTAATAAAAACCTTTATACGAAGATAAGTAAAGATTTCTTTATCATTTAAGAGAAATTCCTGCTTTAAATTTTGGAAGGATTTAATTGTGTTTTCTACTAATAAATTTTCTCTCCATCTAATCAACTGAATATCTACCACATTCTCTGTTTTAATCTCTACATCTAATGATCTTATAATTAAATTTTTTAATCCGAGCTTGGATTTTAGAGTAATTTTGGATTTTTAACCAAATTTTGATTACATTTTCTAGAACAATATTTGAAGATATCTTCCCTATCACAGGTAGACGAAATCCACAGTACCAGAGTGTACCAATTAAAAAAACACTTGGAGTAAAATTACACAAACACATATATAGACATAGCAGAAATGACCACACTCCAAGGACTTTGTAGAGATTTTCAAATAAAATTTAACTTTTATTCAATCAATTTAAAAAGTCAATGTTTCAGCTCCCACATGGAGCTTTCATCAGGACAAAACACGCAGTAATTTCTGCTATGTCTACATGATCCTTGCCAGACCAGCACCGGGCACCACAGGATTACACCAGGAGTGCAAGCCCTCGCTATATATATATATATATATAGATATGTTATAAAACATAAATAATAATTAAAAAATGTAAATATAATTTTACAAAAATTATATATATATATATATATATGTAATTTTATTGTATTTTGATATTAATATTTATATATTCATAACAAAATACTTAAAATGAAATTATATATATCTATGTATATAACAATAATACGAAATATACATGTCCATATACATTATTACATAAATAATCTCAAATATACTTGTAGACTTCAAATATATAAATATGTATATATATTTCAATTCTACGTGCATATTTATGTAATATTTTTACATAATTATGTAATTTTATTGATTGCAATTTGTGGGACCTGCCTGACAACTCAGGACGAAAGTCCAGAGAATTTAATTTGCTAGCACTATATTTAACCCTGTAACTTTCCAAGACACTCTAAAACCTGTACATGGGAGGTGGGGGGTTGGCACTGTTTTACTCGGTATTCTTTGCCGAACACAAATGTTAGTGTTTCAAAACAGTAAAATATCACAGCAATGATATTGTCAGTGAAAATTAAGTTTTTTTGCATTTTTCACCCAAAAACAACACTTTAACCGATGATATTGTTGTGATACATTTTACTGTTTTGAAACACTAATATTTGTGTTCAGTGAAGTTTCTGAGTATAACAGTACCCCCTATGTACAGGTTTTGTTGTGTTTTTGAAAATGACAGGGTTAAATCGGTGGGTACAGTAGATGAGTAAGAGAAAAATTACAGCTAAACACAAACACAGCAGAAATGTAAAAACAGCCCTGGTCCTTAACGGTAAGAAAATTGAAAAATGGTCCGGTCACTAAAAAATCATTCTTCAATATTGTAGTAGATAAAAATGAGAGTTCAATGTTCATATTACATTTTTAAATATAACTTTGTAATTTCACAAAAAACAAAACAAAACACTGCTGATTAAAAGGGGGTTGGGACAACCCTAAATTATTATAACCTTAAACACAAAAGGGCAGTTAAAATACTAACTTTCATTAAATAATGAACAAGAAGTGGTGGGTGTTACTCTATGGCTAATCTTGCCATGTGCAAAGCAGATCAAAGTTCTCTTTACGCTCTGCGAATATCCCAGTAAAAATATAATTATTACATCATTGTGTATTGGGTCCCAGGGTTCCGTACATTTTTCCTAAATTCGTACATTGAATCATGCTGTTAGTGGTGTAAGTTTACCAAGTAATATAATTATCAGAAAGAGGGACATCTAAGAGTTCTGTAAGTCCTCCTTAATGCTTGACATGACTTGAGTATCTCCATCTGTAATTTGTAATAACCCTTTAAAGAGTTATGCAGAACCCTTCTGTGTACATAGTTGCTTGTGAACCATTACATAATAAGTCTCGAATGGTCTACAGATGGCTTGGCTACAAGGAATACATTCTGTCCAAACATCGAGCCCTGAGGGATTCTTCCAAAAAAGAACCTTCTGTCACCACGACACTGACCCAATTTCAAAATATTTTTACTTTTCAATCAAAACCTCAACAATAACCATGTTCTACTACAATAGATTCTTTAAATAAAAGAAATGTTTAGTTTCTATTAACCATACATTTTTGTTTTATTTATAGTTCGTACCAAACTACAACAATAGTACTCGAAAAATACTCGAAAATATATAATGTTTTATTAACTTAAATAAATGTTGTTATCATGCAAACAGACAATACGACAAAAAAAAAGCACAAAAATCATTTTAAGTTGACCTATTTTTAAAATAAATATGCAACATGGAAGTCCATGTTTTAGAAATACAAGGAAGAATTCAATATAAATTAAAGCATTTACCAGGGGTGTTGAACCAAGGTTATTCAGCAGTTTAACTAGAAAGTGAACCATTGCCTGACAGTAACGAGAGCTGAATAGAAATATTTTAGGGCAAATAGCTTATAGTTCAACAGCCCTGGCCAAGACTTAACTTAGTTGTTCCCCAAAAATATTCAATATCCACGGTGCATAGAATCGATAGATTACCATAATCACTTACCCAGATGTAGAAATTTGGGATGAATGATATGCTGAGGCGAGGATGCTTGTGCTAGTGACAGCACAACAAGCAGGATAAGGAGATCTTTTAAAATCATTTCCAGGAGTCTGAACCAATGTAACGAGGTCAGTGTTGTATTTATATGGCAGAGTCACTGTCGCTATGAGCATTACACAGGGTACAGAACACCAACTTTTGTTTTTACCAGTGTCCTGATAAATGCTTAAAACAATACAGTCTCATCAAAACACACTAGCCTGGATGGTTCTGTGTGCGCCTAGCATTCTAGCTGCAAACTGACTATTGGGGCCAATATCAGCACTTTTATATTGCGGGGCAAAAAGCAACCTCAGCTGGCATCCTTTGAGCAAGGTATCAGTTATATTAGGGAAACACAGACTCCAACTACCAGGGTGCTAGGAAAGTCCCCGCGATTCCCACTTATGAGTAAATGCACAATTCCGATCCAATATTTACTAATCTAACATGCTTTAAATACTAGATATGAATATGTGTTTGCATTGATATGGAAGAGTTACTGAAGGTGTCAGTGTTACAGTGTCACAGCTGTGTTTTTTTATGTTTTATGATATTTTAATCCTATTAACACTACAGGCTGGATTTTATTAGCAGAATTTGGTTTTACTTTGCTTTCCGCATAGAAATGGTCTCATACAGGGTCATTCAGTAAAGTGAGAATTTAAAGCGAATTCAAGGAGATTTCAAATGTAAGGCCAAAGTAGCCAAACTGGAAGCATAGCTGACTTTGATCATTTTTCCAGCTGAGCTATTTTGCTCTTAAAGTGGCACTCCAAGCACCAAAACAATTTTATCTAAATGAAGTTGTTATGGTGTCAAGAGGCCTCTGTGATCACACTTACGTCAAGGGATTAAACTGTTCTTGAATGTCCGCTACAGCCATGATGTCCACTCCTCCCAGGCGACATTCGGCTTCTGAAATTTCGCTTGTGCAGTTGCTGCTTGCCTGAGAGTGGTCAGCTGATACTCTCAGCCAATCTGTGACTCCCATTTGAGAACGGTTAACCACTTGCCGTAAAAGTCCCCCGAGACCTCCTGACACCATAACAACTTTATTTAGATAAAGTTGCTTTAGTTGCCTGGGAGTATTCCTTTAAATTTGTGATTCTATCTATCTATCTATCTATCTATCTTAAATTAATTTAAATATAAATCCCATATTACTAGAGACTGGGAAGCACAGATAAGCACTGCGACCAGGTTAGCTAGCCAAGCTACTTCATGGAGTGGACACAGTTCAAGGCTAATGATATAGTGTGCTTTGCAATAGTATTCTTATGTTTAATGTTTTGGATTTTTTAAAATATGTTAATGCTTTATCTATTCATGTTATCTTAAGTTTATATGCCAAGAGTGTCAAGGGGAAACGGAGGAAGATTTGCTTATGCCAACTATAATACAAGTCAAGAGTTAGAACTCAAGAAAATCCCAAAGATCAAGGTGTTTGGAGAGGAGAGCAAAGGTCCATCTACCACAACACACTCGACTGAGGGTGTGCCCACATGGGGGGTATTGAATCCCCTGGTGTACAAAATAGGAAAAATAAAATAAAATGAAAAATAAATATTATGATAAATTCCTCAGGCAAAGGGAATGTTTCTGGATCTACCGACTGAAGACCCTGAGTCCTAAGGGTCTAAATGAGGGGTTTTCTTTTTCTCCCTTTCTATAATCTCCACATCTATTATGTGTAATCCTGTCTGTCATAATGTGTGTTTTTCTCAACCTTCAAACCACATTAATATTTGGTACAGTCTTTATATAGTATTTAACTCCTTTTGGTTTAATCTATACTCTAGAAACATTTTTTCTGTATGTACATATATACCTCTTATTACTTCAACCATGATAGGTATTTTTGCCTTTCTGTAATAAGAACGACATTAAGAGAGTAGATTCTGCTCTCTAATTATTCATTATACTTTACATTTGAGACTTTATTCTACAAGGATTTGCTCCCCTAGAATAACTTACTATTTGGACACACATACTCTAACTGAGGTACTAATCCCCCACACTGACGGAATTCACATGTGTCCCCCAACCGACATAATTGCCGGTCCGAGCACTCCTTGACTCCTCCCCCTCCCGTGACACGGCTTCATGCAATTGGCCATGATGTCACGGGAGGGGCGGGCACTAGTCCCTTTATAACTCCGGCGGCGACGGGACCTCCTCACCGCTCTTGAAAAAGGCACCACATAGCGCCGAAACGCGCGTCGAGCAAGAAGCTTAGCCTAGCTGGATACTTTAACTCTGAATTTATACGCTAGATTTAGGCTTAGGCGGATTTTTATTTTAAACCTATACTGCATGGGGTTGGGAATCTGTGGGTGTTTCGTCTGGCTGGTTGGGAGACGTCCTTTCTACTTAGGAGGCAGGGGTAGCTCTTTTTCCCTGGATTTATTTACTGGGGAACCTTATGCTCTACTCATAGTAGCTCAATATTAATGTAACTTTGTATCCCTTTCTGAATCAACAATTTCAGGATAATAGCACTTTGCTAAGAACTAGCAATATACTTTTACTACTGCTACTTTGTCTGCATTTATCTCTTTGCGAGCATTCTATTTTGGGGCTGACTACTATCTAGATGGATTGAGTTATCTGGGTATCTTTATACAAGGGGGTATTTTCTTCATTTTCATTATGATTCTACTTTCCTTCACCCGTGTATTATACTTTTGATCCCATTTTATCTCACTAGTGTAGTCAGCACTTTCTGCCTGATTTAACTACTATCTATTTAACAGGCTTACGGCTTGCCATATACTCCAGGGAACGACACCTTGTTTATTGGGTGTCATTTCCAGAATAGCAGTTTGACCATATTTTATGCAGACATCCTGGCTCTATAGGGTTTTCCTGTAGTAAGTTACATTATCAATGCAGACATCCTATTACTATATGCTAGCTTGAGTAAATAGCTTTTAGGTATTTATGGGTTTACAGTACTGTCATACAGCGTTTATTTACTGTATCTACCCTGTTGCCTCCCATCTTGTTAGTACAGCCTCATGGGCCAATCCCCAATCCTGGACCCCGTGTATTTTACATAGTCTCTGTACGTTTTCCAATAAAGAATTATTTATTTATTTATTTATTTTTTAAATTTATTTTTCATTTTATTTTATTTTTCCTATTTTGTACACCAGGGGATTCAATACCCCCCCATGTGGGCACACCCTCAGTCGAGTGTGTTGTGGTAGATGGACCTTTGCTCTCCTCTCCAAACACCTTGATCTTTGGGATTTTCTTTACTACTTATTGCGCTGGGTTAGGCCCTTTATGTGTTGCCCACTTAGTCCTTTCTCTGGCTCCAGGACTGGATTCTTTCTAGTTCTGTAGTCACCCTTTTCTCAAGAGTTAGAACTCACCATTTCATTAAAAAAGCCCAAATATAGTTTTATATAAATTATAAGTGAAATAAGAATTTCATATTTAATTTTAACCCCTTAATAGAAACATAGAAACATAGAAACATAGAATGTGACGGCAGATAAGAACCATTCGGCCCATCTAGTCTTCCCAATTTTCTAAATACTTTCATTAGTCCCTAGTCTTATCTTATAGTTAGGATAGCCTTATGCCTATCCCACGCATGCTTAAACTCCTTTACTGTGTTAACCTCTACCACTTCAGCTGGAAGGCTATTCCATGCATCCACTACCCTCTCAGTAAAGTAATACTTCCTGATATTATTTTTAAACCTTTGTCCCTCTAATTTAAGACTATGTCCTCTTGTTGTGGTAGTTTTTCTTCTTTTAAATATAGTCTCCTCCTTTACTGTGTTGATTCCCTTTATATATTTAAATGTTTCTATCATATCCCCCCTGTCTCGTCTTTCCTCCAAGCTATACATGTTAAGATCCATTAACCTTATAGAAACATAATGACCAAACTTCTGGAATAAAAGGGAATCATGACATGTTACACATGTCATGTGTCCTTAAGGGGTTAAAGCTATTTCCCATGTATAGTTACAGCAGCCTAAATATCCTTTGGAGGTCATAATAATCTTATGTAACTAAATAGGTAAAGACGACTTTCCCCCCAAACCCAGAGTAGAAATGAGTGTTACTCCCCCTTTTCCATCTATGAGCAGGTAATAGTAGCACACAACCACCCTATACACTCCTGAAATGACATCACCCTGAATATCTATAACTATCTTGCCAGTTATTTATTTTATCAGTAGCATGGCCTTTCAACATTTACTGTCCTATTTTTAAGTCTTTTCTTTAAAACATTTAGTGTCCTGTCAGTAAGATGCGTTCCCTTTTTGATGATCATGGTGGTTATGTGCTGACCAGAAAGAAATAGAAAGAAATGGGATCGGTGTGAAAATGGGTGTAAAAGGGAATAAACGCCACCTCCACGCTGATCCCATGCACCAGGAGGGCACTCCAGCAACTCCCCTCCCCCATGCATCATTTCCTCTTTCTTTGCTGCTCCGCAGTCAGTACAGGTCAGAGTACCACTGCCTCCTGCTTCTAGTGGGTGGCTTTGGGATTAATTATGATTTATTGTTGTATATTTATTGCATATTAGGATTACTGATTAAATTTTGTACACACATGGGCACTTCACTGCACTGTGTGATACACGTTTTTGTTATGATTTTGATACCGGAGAAACTGACGGAAGCAAAGCACAGAGAGATGGACACAGGTTTCTTCAGGAAGGAAGAGATTCTTTATTGGATCACCGATCGGGACTCAGAGGGACTAATGTCACCAAAAATACAGCAAGTTCTGAGCCCTGAACAATAGTGCAGGCTCCCTATATAGGCACATAACTCCTCCCATATTAAGCTCCACCCGCACATTCTCTTGACCAATCATTACAAATAAGAATTAACTTCCTGCTTGACCGCATGGCTTGTCCAGCACAATGGAGGAGGGGAATACTACATCCTGTATTCTTGCACATGCTCCGTACACTACTGATCGTATCTTGCCTCGTGCAACCAACTGATCGATACGTCAGCATATGCACGTACACATGCCACGTGGTAATCTCGGCCTACTAAATTTATTTTTACCGAGATTCCACCAC